GCGAAGTATTCCAATAATGGAAAACAAGCACACATATACTCACCAGCAACTGGTATTAACTGAGCAGCAAGTGGACACATAGGTACTACAGAAATAGGGTATTGGGTAGTTGGGGGGGATGGGTATATACATACATAATGAGTGAGATGTGTACCATCTGGGGGATGGTCATGCTGGAAACTCAGACTTGTGGGCGGAGGGGGGAAAAGGGCATTTTTTGAAACCTTACAATTTGTACCCCCATAATATGCCAAAATAAAAAATATGGTCAAGGGAACTAAAAATAGATTTCTCAAAAGAAGATATACAAATGGTCAACAGATATATTAAAAATGCTCAACATCAGTTATCATTAGGAAATGAAATTAAAGCCACAACGAGATAATTACCTCACACCTGTCAGATGGCTATTATCAAAAAGACAAAGACAGCAAGTATTCGCAAAGATCTGAGAAAGGGCACCTTTGCACACTGTTGGTGGGAATGTCAATTAGTATAGCCATTATGGAAACTATATAGAGGTTCCTTAAAAAACTAAAAATAATTATTACATGATTTGGCAATCTCACCTCTGGGTATTTATTTAAAATATTTAAATCAATATGTTAAAGAGATGTCTGTGCTCCATCTTCATTGTAGCACTATTGATAATGGAATCATGTGTCCATCAACAGACGAATAAAGAAAATGTGGTATATATACACTATGGAATGCTATTCAGCCTTAAAAAGGAAGGCCATTTCCAGGCAATATGGCTCACAGTTAAATCTTAGCACTGTGGAGGCTGAGGTGGTAGAATTGCTTGAGGTCAGGAGTTTAAGACCAGCCTCAGCAAGAGTGAGGCTTACTTACTATACTAAAAATAGAAAAAATTAGCTGGGCATGATGTGCCAGCCTGTAGTCCCAATCTGGAAGAATATACCATGCTCATGGGTCGGCAGAATCAACATTGTTAAAATGTCTATACTACCTAATATGACCTACAGAGTCAATGTTTTGTTTTATTAATGGAGAATTTATTTTCGTATAATTACATGGGTAATTAAAATAAATTTTAATAAAATTGCTTGATGACTGGCAGTGATACCGAAGAGATAAATCAAAATAAATAACTCAGAAATGGAGGAGAAGTCATATAAAAGGATCAGGTGGTAAGCACTACATGCACGTAAATGTAGAAATAAAGCTAAAAACCAGGACATAATATTTTTAGAACACATTTTATACATTAAGTCTTGACAACATAAAAAGCATAGAAAAAGACATTAGTGGATAGACAGAGAAAGGCAACGAATATATGTACGAGCTTGATTTGACATTGGTTTGGGATGAGAACACATTGTGTTAGGGCATTTCTTAGTGTACTAATTACTATAAATGTTTCTGCTTAGACTAGAAAATTCTTCAGCAAGATAAAGTTATACTTTTTACTGTGAGTTTTTTCAGTGCCTTTTCAAATGACTGATAGTGCATTAGGTACCGGATTAGCACCAATTATTAATATGATAATAATGGTAAAGACCACAATTCTTTCTTTGGGAAATAGCATGGTCCTGTTACCAAATGACACTGTCTATGCAAAACTCAGTGTCGGAATGGCCTGAATTCAGCCATCCATATGTTATATTGGTAATAATTCAAGGAAATAGCCCCTTTGGCAACATTCATTTTGACTCCAGTCACTTTCTGCCTATGCCCACACCACACACTATTTAGGAAGACATTTTGGTGTTTACATAAGTGCTGCAAGAGATCAAGACTCGGAATGCATGGGCTAAGGATTTTCTCCGGATCAAATTTCTTGGCCTCTCTACGAACCATTTTTCTCATCTGTCAAATGTGTTCATGGTACTTCAGGTCTTACCTAATAAGAAAAGTGTAAAAATAATATACAAAAGTTCTTTGCACTTCAAATGTTATATAAACTTTAGCCAGTGTTTTTAAAATTAGGAAGGTTGACTCTTACCTGATGGACAAAGCAGGGAGTTGAATGTCACTTCCTTCTTTATTCCTTCAGGCTTTAAGTAAAAGAAAGGGAAGTTAGAGGTGAGAATGGACGACTATCAGGAAACATGTATTGACAGGGGAACCACAGATTTCCAGATAGTGAAGGGAGGAATTTGAACTGCATTACATAAACAAACTCTGTAAGTATAAGTGATATGAGGGGGACAGGTTGGTGCATAAGAAAGTAAAGGAATAATTAAGAAAATAGCCGGGCGTGGTGGCTCACGCCTGTAATCCTAGCACTTTGGGAGGCCGAGGTGGGCGGATTGCTCAAGGTCAGGCTTTTAAATCAGACAAAGTAGATAAAGACAAAGAAGTCACTAATACATGGTGAAGTAGAGTTACAAGCGACTACAATTCAGTATATACACCCAACCTTGGTGCATCCAGGTTCATAAATCAAACTCTTACTGATCATAACCAAATAATAAACAACAACACCATAACTAGTTGGAAGACTTAAAACACGCCGACTGACAGCACAGGACACAACCTCCAAACAAAATCAATTAAAGAATAATGGAACTTAAACAGAACCCCTAGAAATGGGCCTGATGCAATTGACAGGGACTTCGTCCCCAAAAACCACCTGAATATACATCTCCTTCTCATCAGTCATGGTCAGTCTCTAGATTGACCATATCCTGACACAAAGCATGTCTCAAACAATTAAAAATAGAAATTATACAATGTATCTTCTTCAGACCACCATGGAATAAATCAGAATATCAATCTAACAGAGCCTATTTCTAACACAAAGTCATGGAACTAAACAAATCTGCGATGGATCACTTCTAAATGAGGGAAATCAAGATAAATCACAAAGATTCTTTGAAACTAATGACAAAAGTACACAACCATAACTGTACAACAGCTAAAGCAGTCCTGAGAGGAAAGTTTATTTCCATAAATGCCTATATCCAAAGGGTGAAAAGATCACAATGACGAACCTAATTGAATGTCTCAGAGAGCTGGAAAAGAGAAACGCCCAACCCCAAAAACCCAGCAGAAGAACGTCGAATCATTAAGATCAATCAGAACTAACCACGCCAATCGGACAACACACAATACCACGGAAGCTTCAATACAAAACAACAAAGTTCGGTTCTTTGAAAAATAACAACCACTTGCATGCTTTGGTAGATAACTGAAAAGCAGACACGCATAACATCTCTAAGTAAGCCCCTCAGGAACATATAACAGAGGAATTACAACTGATGCCACAGAGATATCAAGATATAATATATGAATACAACAAAAACTCTATGCACACAAACTGAAAATGTGGAGGAATGGACAATTCTTAGAAATACACAGCCTCCCTAGGCTCAACAAGGGAAGAAAAGTAGAATCTCAGAAGCAGACCAATATCAAGTACTGTCAATTGAAACACACATAGATAGAAAACCTTCCCTAAAAGAAAAGTCCTGACCGAGATGTTCACACCTGAATTTTACCACACTACAAAAGAAGAACTGTGCTTATCCTGCCAGAAATTATTCCACAAACACGGAAGGATGGAATCTACCCAGTCATTTTAGAACTAAGCATAACCCTGTACCAAAACCAGGAAAGGATTGCAAAAAAAAAAGAAGCTACAGACCAACTATCCCTTATGATATAAGTGCAAATAATTCTCAACAATAATCGCCTTAGCCAATCGAACCAGGTGCTTTCATGAAAATAATTCATCACAACCAAGTGGATCAGGCCACGCAGATGCCAGAATGGTTCACACATACTGACAAATGTATTGCACATATAAACAGAACAAGCAACAAGAGACTATCTGATCCTTCATAGATGCAGAGGAAAGCATTTGACAAGAATTCAACACCCTTTTATGATAAAGAACACTCAACAAACTAGGATCAGACGGGGCTTACCTAAAAATGAGATACAAGCCAGTATGATGACAAACCATGGCCAATATCATACGTGACACCGCGGAAGAAATTGAAGCATCCCACTGAGAACTCGGGAAGAAGACAACGGTTCCCCTATCTCCATCTTTTTTCCAAGATAGTGCTGATAGTCCGTCGTATAGCAATCAGACAGGGCGAATAAGGGCGTCAAATGACGAGCCAGAAGAGATCAAACTCTCACTGTTCCCTTGATGACATATTATTATACCTAGAAAACCCTCAAGGATCCAACCAGGAACTCACTTGATCTGATAAATGAATTGGTAAATGTCTCAGGAACAAAAGTCAATACACAGAATGCAGAGGCATTCATACTACGCAACAACAGGTAAAAGTGAGAACCAAATCGATGACTCAATATTTCTCTTCAAAATGAGGCACAAAGGAAAATAAAGTACCCTTGGACATATATTTGACCTGAAGGAGGTAAAAGACCTCCTATAGGCGAGAAGCTAAACACCACTGAACCAAGCCACTAGCACCCGAGAACGTAAACGTAGGAGGGGGGAAAAGGGCATTTTTTGAAACCTTACAATTTGTACCCCCATAATATGCCAAAATAAAAAATATGGTCAAGGGAACTAAAAATAGATTTCTCAAAAGAAGATATACAAATGGTCAACAGATATATTAAAAATGCTCAACATCAGTTATCATTAGGAAAATGGAAATTAAAGCCACAACGAGATAATTACCTCACACCTGTCAGAATGGCTATTATCAAAAAGACAAAAGACAGCAAGTATTCGCAAAGATCTGGAGAAAAGGGCACCTTTGCACACTGTTGGTGGGAATGTCAATTAGTATAGCCATTATGGAAAACTATATAGAGGTTCCTTAAAAAACTAAAAATAGAATTATTACATGATTTGGCAATCTCACCTCTGGGTATTTATTTAAAATATTTAAAATCAATATGTTAAAGAGATGTCTGTGCTCCCATCTTCATTGTAGCACTATTGATAATGGAATCATGTGTCCATCAACAGACGAATAAAGAAAATGTGGTATATATACACTATGGAATGCTATTCAGCCTTAAAAAGGAAGGCCATTTGGCCAGGCAATATGGCTCACAGTTATAATCTTAGCACTGTGGGAGGCTGAGGTGGTAGAATTGCTTGAGGTCAGGAGTTTAAGACCAGCCTCAGCAAGAGTGAGGCTTACTTACTATACTAAAAATAGAAAAAAATTAGCTGGGCATGATGGTGCCAGCCTGTAGTCCCACCTACTCAGGAGGCTGAGACAGGAGGATCAGTTGAGGAGTTTGAGGTTGTGAGTGAACTATGAGCATGGCACTGCACTCTAGCCAGGGCAACAGAGTGAGACTGTCTCCACCACCACCACCACCACCACCACCACCAACAACAACAACAACAAAAAAGAAGGACATTCAGTTACCTGTGACAACATGAATGATCCTGGAGGACATTATGTTAAATGATTTAAGCCAGTTATAGAACTACAAATTTTGCATGTTTTCACTTGTCTGTGGAAGCTAAGACAGTTAAACTCATAAAAGGAGAGAGTAGAATGAGGCTTACTGAGAATGTGGGTGGGCAGACAGGGAGATGATGTTCAAAGGATACAAAGTCTCAGAGAAAAGGAATAAGTGTTTTTTTTCCCCCCCAGATTCACTGCACAGTATGGTAAACATAGTTAATAATGTATTGTATATTTCAAACTTGCTTAAAGAATAAATTTCAAATATTCTTACTACAAAAAATAAGTATTTGAGATTATAGATATGCTAATTAGCTTTATTAATTATTTCACATTGTATTCATAAATCATAATATCACTTTGTATGCCATAAGGGTATACAATTATAAATTGTCAATTTGCATTATAATTAAATAAACAACCAAAAAGCAAACAAAAATACTTTGCATATATATGCATACCACCTCTGACTTAGGAATTTCACATTTTGGCATCTACCCTAGGTACACTTGCATATATACACAAGAGGCTATTATTATCACTAATTAATTAATTTCTTATTAACAAATAGGTGGAAAAACCAGTATGGGAACGTTAAAAGACCAAGCAGAACTGTGATATATTCACATTACAGAATTAAAAGCAATTGAAAGTAATGATTTGATCCATAATTTAACATAGATATATCTCCAAGACAGATTGCTGAGTAAAAACAAAGAGTTATAGAAAGTTATATAATTTGTGTAATACAATTTATGTAATATACACAAACACATGTCTACATATCTATTTTCTAAAGGCCAAGGGATGATCATTAAGTTATTGAAAAATATTATGAGGGAGTGATATCAGCCTTTAATATGACGTTCTGTTTTGTTTTATTTTTAAATTTATTTTTATTATTTACTTATTTATTTGTTTTTTATTTTAGCATATTATAGGGTTACAAATGTTAAGGTTACTTATATTGCCCATGCCTCCCTCCCCCCTCAAGTAAGAGCTTAAAGCATGCCCATCCCCCCAAACATTGCACATCTTACTCATTGTGGTTGTATACACCCATCCGCTCCTCTCCCCTCCCACCCTCCTGACACCCGATAAATGTTATTCCTATATTTCCACTTAGGTGTTGATCCCAAAGCAACAAAGTTCAACCCAACACAATGAACAGAAATCTGCCCCACCTATCAATTATCTCAATAAATGTGAATGGCTTGAACTCCCCACTCAAGAGACATAGGCTGTCCGAATGGATAAAAAAAACGCAAGCCAAGTATCTGCTGCCTTCAGGGAACACACCTAACCTGCAAGGATGCAATTAGACTAAAGGTAAAGGGGTGGAGAACAATATTTCAAGCAAATGGAAGCCAAAAGAAAGCTGGCGTGGTGGTGCTGATTACAGATAACTTAGTCTTTTAAATCAGACAAAGTAGATAAAGACAAAGAAGGTCACTAATACATGGTGAAGTGAGAGTACAACGAACTAACAATTCAATATATAGCACACCAACTTGGTGCATCCAGTTCACTAAATCAAACTCTTACTTGATCATAACAATCAAATAATAAAACAACAACACCATAATAGTTGGAAGACTTAAACACACCGACCTGACAGCACGACAGACCTCCAAACCAGAAAATCAATTAAGAATAATGGAACTTAAACAGAACCCTCAGCAAATGGACCTGATGCAATTTACAGGACATTGCTACCGCCAAAAACACTGAATATACATTCCTATCTCATCAGCTCATGGGTCATCTCTAGATTGACCATATCCTAGACACAAAGCATGTCCTCAAACAATTAAAAAATAGAAATTATACAATGTATCTTCTTCAGACACCATGAATAAATGCAGAATATCAATCTAACAGGTCCTCATTGTCTAAACACAAAGTCATGGAAACTAAACAAATCTGCGAATGGATCACTGTCATAAATGAGGAATCAAGATGGAAATCACAAAGATTCTTTGAACTAATGACAAAAGTACACAGTACCAAAGCTGTGGACACAGCTAAAGCAGTCCTGAGAGGAAAGTTTATTGTCCATAAATGCCTATATCCAAAGGGTGAAAAGATCACAATGACGAACCTAATTGAATGTCTCAGAGAGCTGGAAAAGAGAAACGCCCAACCCCAAAAACCCAGCAGAAGAACGTCGAATCATTAAGATCAATCAGAACTAACCACGCCAATCGGACAACACACAATACCACGGAAGCTTCAATACAAAACAACAAAGTTCGGTTCTTTGAAAAATAACAACCACTTGCATGCTTTGGTAGATAACTGAAAAGCAGACACGCATAACATCTCTAATAAGCTGCCCTCAGGAGACATATAAAGGAGGAATTACAACTGATGCCCACAGAGATACAAGATAGTAATATATGAATACAACATAAAACTCTATGCAGCACAACTAAAATGTGGAGGAAATGGACAATTTTAGAAATAACAGCCTCCTAGGCTCAACAAGGAAGAAATGAGAATCTCCAGAATCAGACCAATATCAAGTACTGTCAATTGAAACAAAAATAAAAACCTTCCTAAAAGAAAAGTCCTGGACCAGATGGTCTTCACACCTGCATTTTACCACACCTACAAAAGAGAGAACTGTGTTATCCTGCAGAAAATTATTGCCACAAACACGGAAGGATGGAATCTACCCAAGATCATTTTAAAGCATAACATAACCCTATACCAAAACAGGAAAGGATTGCAAAAAAAAAGAAAACTACAGACCAACTATCCCTTATGATATTAAGATGAAATAATTCTCAACAATAATCCTAGCCAATCGAACCAGGTGCTGTCATGAAAATAATTCATCCAACCAAGTGTATTCCAGGCTCATCGCGATGCCAGATGTTGACAATCTAATGCTTTAATGTATTCACCATATAAACAAGAACAAAACAAAGACTATCAGATCCTTCAATAGAGCAGAGGAAAGCATTTGACAAGATTCAACACCCTTTTATGATAAAGAACACCAACAAAACTAGGATCAGACGGGGCTACCTAAAATAGATACAAGCCATTATGATTGACAAACCATGGGCCAATATCATACGTGACAGGCCGGAAGAAATTGAAAGCATCCCACTGAGAACTCGGGAAGCAGACAACGGTTCCCCTATCTCCATCTTTTTTCAAAGATAGTGCTGAGTCCGTTCGTACTCAGCAATTCAGGACAGGGCCGGACAATCAAGGCGTCTAAATGGAGCAGAAGAGATCCAAACTCTCATCGTGTTCCCTTGATGACATATATTATACCTAGAAAACCCTCAAGGATCCAACCAGGATGACTCACTTGATCTGATAAATGAATTGGTAAATGTCTCAGGAACAAAAGTCAATACACAAATGCAGAGGCATTCATTACGCAACAACAGGTAAAAGTGAGAATCCAAATCATGCTCAAATTCTCTTCAAAATAGGCACAAAGAAAATAAAGTACCCTTAGGACAATATTTGACTAAGGAGTAAAAGACCTCCTATAGGCGAGAACTATGAACACACTGAACAAGGAAATAGCAACGAGACGTAAACAGTAGGAAGAATATACCATGGCTCATGGGTCCGGCAGAATCAACATTGTCTAAACAGTCTTGATACTACCTACATATGACTACAGAAATGTTTTGTTTTATTAATGGGACATATTTGCGTATAATGTACCATGGGTAATAAATAAATTTTAATATTAAATTGCTTGTGACTGTGCAGTGATTACCGAAGAGATAACTCAAACATAAATTACTCAGAATGGAGGAGAAGTCATATAAAAGGATCGGTGGGTAAGCACACTACGACTGGCACGTAAATGTAGGAATAAGTAAAAACAGGAAATAATATTTGTAGAAACATTTTATACATTGATAAGTCTTGACAACATAAATAGCAGTAGGAAAAAGACATAGTTAGGATAGACAGGAAAGGCAACGAACTATATGTACGAGCTTGATTTAGACATTGGGTTCTGGATGAAACATTGTTTAGGCATTTCTTAGTGTACTAAGTTACTATAAAGGTTTCTGACTTAGACTAGAAAATTCTTCAAGCAAGTAAAGTTTATACTTTTTACTGGAGTTTTTCAGTGCCTTTTCAACATGACTGATAGTGCATTAGACCGTATATGCACCCAATTATATAATGATACATTAGAGGTAAGACCACATCTTTCTTTGGAGGAATAGCAATGGTCCTGTGTTACCAAATGACACTGTCTATGCAAATCAGTGTCGAGTGGCCTGAATTCAGCCACCCATACGTAGTATATTGGTAATTAATCAAGGGATAATAGCCCCTTTGCACATTCATTTTGACTCCAGTCACTTTCTGCCTATGCCGCACACCACACACTTTCTAGGAAGACATTTTGGTGTTACATTAAGTGCTGCAAGGATCAGCAGCTCAATGCATGGGCTAAGGATTTTCTCCGGATCAAATTTCTTGCCTCTTACGAACATTTTTCTCATCTGTCAAATTGTCATGTACTTCAGGTTTAGCCTAATAAGAAAGTCGTAAACATATATACAAAAGTTCTTGCACTTCAAATGTTAATAAACTTTATGCAGGTTTTAGAAATTCAGGAAGGTGACTTTACCTGATGGAAAAGCAGGATTGAATGTCACTCCTTCTTTATTCCTTCAGGCTTATAAAATGAAAAGTTAGAGGTGTGAATGGACGACTATCAGGAAACTGTATTGACAGGGGAACCACAGATTCCAGATAGTGAAGGAGGAATTTGAACTGTACATTTAAACAAACTCTGTAATATAAGTGATATTGAGGACAGGTTGGTGCGTAGAAAGTAAAAGAATATTAAGAAATAGCCCGAGGGCGTGGTGGCTCACGCTGTAAATCCTAGCACTTTGGAGGCCGAGTGGCGGATTGCTCAAAGGTCAGGGATTCGAAACAGCCTGAGCGACCCCGTCTCTACCAAAAATGAAATCAAACTTGACAACTAAAATATATACAAAAAATTAGCCGGGCATGGGTATGCCTGTAGTCCAGCCGGTGGCTTTTACCTCGGAGGGTGGGCAGTAGGATCGTGAGCCCCGGAGATTGAGGTTGCTGTGAGCCGGCGACGCCACGGCACTCATCTAGCCTGGGCAACAAAGTTGAGACTCTGTCTCAAAAAAAAAAAAAAGAAAATACTTCAAGAGAAATAGATGCCAGGTGCGGCTCACGCCTGTAATCCTAGCACTCTGGGAGGCTGAGGCGGGCAGATTGCTTGAGGTCGGAGTTCGAAACCAGCGTTGAGCAAGAGAAGACCTGTCCTACTATACGTTTTTATTAAATAGGAAGAAATTAATTGGCAACTAATAATGAATATCAGAAAAATTAGCGAGGCATGGGTGTCTTCCTGTAGTCCAGAGCAGCAGGATTCAGGATTGCCTGAGCCCAGAGTTTGAGTTCGTGGTCGAGCTAGGCTGATGCACAGCACTCACTCTAGCCTGGGCAACAAGTGAGAGCTCGTCTCAAAAAAAAAAAAAAAAAAAAAGGAAATAGGATGATTAGATAGGTAGGTAGATAAAAGAGAATATTATTCTGAAATATCCATAATAATTATTATATAACCCAAGTATATTATTATTTTATTATTATGGATATTATTGATCATATATTATTTCAGTCTTCTTACGTAAAAGTTGAAACCCCAACTGTGTTACCTATTTTTTTGTGACTCAGCGTGACCTGTCAAATGGGCAGGCTTACTTACTTCAACTAACAGGAGCTTAATGATTGTGTCTTTCTTTCCATATTCAGGGATTCTAGGCACCTCAGTCTCACATGACTCTGCATAAGATAGTGCTTCTGCGCTCACAGTAAAATTCACATTTCCTGAAAAAGGAAAAGGCGATAAAGATGAGTATCATCTTCCTCCTTCCTTCATGCCTCCAAACTCAAGATTTGTAAATGTTCAATGCTCTGTTTTATTTTTGTTCTATGAAAACACTGGAGCAGGAATGGAAACAGCATAAATGAGAGGCTGATGATACTGAGGATCCAAGGTGGAGATGTTTGGGGATATCCTTCTAGGAAGCCTACAATGGGAGACAGTGAAAAAATACTATACCATCTGGGTCTTTTCCTGAGGAAAGTAGTGTTGAATATCAGGTTCCCATGGATATGTGAAATTTTTGAGTAGAAAATTATTTCTAGGAGTCTGCCCCTCACCTAGTGACTTTGGGGTTACTTCCCAGGACACAGTTTGCCGCTTGTCACCACAGACGCAGACAGTTCCTTGTTCTTTCTCCACTGGGACAGCTTGGAAGGCGGGAGTGGCTTCCAGATGCACAGAGATCTGAAACCACATGTGAGACAGATGAGAGGGAATAGGAGACCAGAGGAAGAATGGATTGAAGTATACTGAGAGGGATTGGTTAGATTTTAGATTGCCTAATATTAATGATGGTACAAACAAAGACCAAGCACATTTAGTACGTTTAGGTGGATCTGACATCTAAATCTGAGTATTTTGGTTGTGACGTGCTCTTTCATGTGGTGGGAACAGAGGAAAGGTTATGATGGCAGGTTGCTCTATTTCTTTGGTCTAGAACCTTGCCGTTTCCTTAGCTCTTCCAGCAGAGTTATAAGATTTATAAAGAGTCATGATTTCAGCAGAGGTAAGATGTTCACAAATAAGTTGTAAAATTAAGTTTAATTTGATGAATGAGGTATGAAAATTAAATATATGAGAATGTAGAGGCTGAAACCTTGAAGAAACTGAATAAGACACGAGGATGAAGAGTACTAATTTTTTGTTGTCTGTGTGAGAAATCTTCATATTACACAAACTGCTGAACTTTAAATGGTTATGATAAGGGATAGAAACTTGTTTTAAGTTGCAATTTGTAATTTTCAGATAGCAACTGTAACTCACATAGCTTATGAATATCTGATAGTATTCTTCCTCTAGTTAGCACATATTGGACACAAGAGTTAGTACTCCTAGGCATGCAACTTTTAATTTACTTGACTGCTACCTTGTATACAATTAGGAAGAGGTCCTTACCAAAAGGCATTTGGGATGGTAGTTGACAACACTGGCCCTGAGTGTGAAGGCCTCTCCGCGGATCACAGAGTAGGGCATGGTGAGCTCCACAAAGAAGGGATGGAAGGCTCGGAGAGAGGCAGTGGGAGAGAGACCAAGTCCTGTGTCCTGGGACAGGCAGAGGGCCCCTGCCTTCCACTCCGTGATGGTGTCAGGGACGGATACCCCTACCTCAGCCACACCTGAAGATCTGGGGAGGAGGGCGATGTGAAGAACAGAGAGAAAGCAGTTAAATAAATACTTTCTGGGGCGAGAACCTCTATAAATGATACTGTTGTCATATTGAATGCACTCAATAGAAATGTCAATGATTGAGAGTATAATCGAGGCTTGAGATGGGAATATATAGGTCCTGTCTTTCTTCCAATTCTGTTTTCAGTGCTAGTCTTTATCAGAATCTCCTATAGATGTATAGTTGTAGCATAATCTTTTACAGAGAAAATAGCCATCAACTTAACATGTAATTTGAGATTGCCTTTAAGTTCTTTTTTCTAAAATGTTGTTCCACTGAGTGTTGCTTTATAGTTATTAATTCTATTACTATTGGGTATAGTTGGCCTGACTGAATCTGTGCTTAAGATTGTTGACCAATAAAGGGTCTTTTACACGTGTTTATCTCTGCAGTATTTTGTTATATTTGGTCCTTATGTTGCGGCAATGTGTACAGCTAGTGTTACAGGTCTTGACTGGGAAAGAACCAAGCAGCACATGAAGAGTTGGAGAACAGTCTTTTTTCTTCCACAGTAGGTTCAGCACACCTAGTGTTTCAGCTCTCTTCCCTCTTCTAGTCTTTTTCCCTTCTGCCCCTTCTTCCTTGTGCTTTTCCTGCTTTTATACCCTTTGTAGGGGTCAAAAACCATCCAATCAACTACAAGCTTTAACATCCAATCAAAAACAGTGGGATTCAAAAATTACCCAATCAGGATCACGCAAGCAGCGTGGCCGGAAACAGGCAGCTGCTCCTGGGCCTGGGGGCATTCCGGCACCCGGCCTGGGTGGCTCTCTGCGGCGGAGCCTGGCCCCAGGTGCCCTCCAAATGGCCACGCGCAGCGCTGGCCCATGGAGATGCGCAGCTATGGAGAGGCGGCAAGCGGCTGCGTCCCAGCGCCCGCTATTTTCCGTATCACTTATGCCCATTTTTTTAGAAATCTTAGAATTAAACTTGTTCCAAATATCTTAGCTTTGATGCCATTTAGTGCGACTTTGTAACAGAATATTTACACTAAACCACTCCTGAAAATACCAATGTGTTTAAAAGAAGTACTTCAATACTGGAAAATTAGCCAAGAGCTCACAGTTTCTCCCTGGAAGGGGTTTGTTTACAGGCTATCTCAGTTGCTGCCTGAGGGCTGGTTTCTAAGTAGCTGTTGTCCGGGAGCAGAAGGGCCAGATAAACAAGAACCCTCCAGGAGCCTGAAAAGGAGTTTGGGAACTTCCCTTTTCCATGCCCCCCTGCTCCATTCCAGTGACAAAATCTGGACTCCAGGTTTTCTCTGGAGGGGGTGTGCTTACACTCCTTGGTGTTCACACTGTTGGTGGGGATATAAATTAGTACAGCCATTAAGGAAAACGGTATGGAGATTCCTTAAAAAGTTAAAAATGAAACTACTGTATGATCCAGAAATTTCTCTCCTAGATATATACCCAAAGGCAATGAAGTAGGCACCTTGCAGAGTGCATAATATGCACTCTTGTGTTCATTTGCAGCATTATTCACAGTAGCCCAGGTAGGGAAACAGCCTAAGTATCCATCCATGGGTGAATGGATAAAGAAATGTGTGTGAGTGTGAGTGTTTGTATAGTGGAATATTATTCAGCCTTAAAAGGAAAAAGATCCTGCCATTTGTGACAATATGGATGAACCTGGAGGACATTATGCTAAGTGAAATAAACCAGACACAGAAAGAAAAGTATTACATGATCTCACTTGTATGTGTAATCTAAATGAAATTGAACACATAGAAACAGAGAATAGAATCATGGGGCTGTGGTGGGGAGATGCAGGTCAAAGACTACAAAGTTGGAGTTTTGTAGCATGAATAAATCTAGAGATCTAAGGTACAGCATGAAGGTTATAGTTAGAATATTATATCGTATACTGGAAATTGGCTAAGAGGATAGATTTTGAGGTACTCTTGCCATACACACAAAAACAGGTAACAATGTGAGATTATAGATATGTTAGTTTTCTCGATTGCAATAATCATTTTACTATATATATTAAAACATTGTGTTGTACACGTTACATATATACAATAACAACAGAAAAATGGGCAAAGAATTGACTACAGTGAGGGATTTATATTGTTGCATCTTGCATATAACAGAAGTTATATACTTACCCCACCACCACCAAATCCCAGATCCACGTCTCAGGGAAGTACTTCCGTACAGTCTCTGTGCGAGGCCCTCCAGCAATGATCATACTTGCAGTTTTAGGGACTCCTCGCATTGCTCCTGAGTCTACAGTAGGTGAGGGACAAGACAGGAACAACAAATATTAAAGCTAAAGCCTATGAGAGATTGTAATAGGTGCTATCAAGACACACAGAGTGACGAAACAGACACCAGGAGAGCGCACTTGGTGGTTAGGGGAAGCTTCTTGAGGAGGTGATGTTCCAGCAGAATTCTGAAGTATTGGGATAAGCTAGGAGTGAGCTGGGGGAAGAGGCTCCGAAGCAGAGGATATGGAGACCCGGCAGGAAGGGCCTTGGATTGCCTGTGGAGAGGAAGGGCTCGGAGCCCTACGTGGCTGTGCCCTTGCGCTAAGTGGAGCGTGCTATGACGTGGCGTTGGGAGGACAGCAGGAGGCAGAGCTTCCACTGGTGTGTTTCTCAGTTGTGACCCACACATTATGGCAGTGGCTTTGGGAACCAGTTTACAGGAGTGAAAAGATCAAGGATAAAAAAGGCTCTTTATTCCATATTGTGTCAGAACCAGAGTTAGGTTCCTTTACCCTGTTCACCTTCTGCTAAGGGTGTGTTGGTAAATATTTGATGACCAAATCCCTGGAAAAAATAGTGCATATATATATCTATATATACTTGTGCATATGTCAGTTTACTCTAACTCTTACTGATAAAAGATTATAGAATATAATTTATAAATAATGCAGATATATCCAATAATCTTTGTAACACATTCCATACAGTGAATTGATTCTCACTGAGTGTTTTCCTTGTATTTTGAACCACGTTTGTCTGTACTCAACTTATCGTTAACCATGATTTGACAATATGAGAGTACTAACACTTGATTATTATCTGATTCATCAGTGAAGTAGCTCACATCATTGATGAATGCTTGTGGTTTTCACATGAATATTGGCTGATGTTTTGGGGAAGTTGAAGAGCTGTTTTACTTGACTGCTGAGAATGTTGCTCTATTTTGTGAGCATTTCTATTTCTGTTTACACTGATTCTAGCAATATGTCTGAAGGCTTTTCTTTTTCTTTCCACCCACACACATCTCCATTTACCAGAAGCTAGTTCTTCATGAATGACTGATTCCTCAAGCAGAGTTAATACTTTCTTTCACTTTGCATATCTGTACCTCTCTTATGGGACTTTTTACAATCTGCCTTGTGCTGCTGCCAGTGTTGCAACTGTGGATGGCCTGATAAATCAGAGAGCTGGGTTCATATTGCTATGCGACCTTCAACAAGAACCATAATATATGAATTACACGTCCTTTTTTTGTTAATTTTATTATATTTTTTCTTTTTAAAAATTGTTTTATTTGGTTCAATATATTAGGAAATAAATTTTTATTCATTTTTTTACCTAAATACAGTAGAGGTTGAGGTGCATGCATCCCATAATTTTCAGGCTGTCTACATATTTCAGGTTTACGAATCTTTGAGTTGGTAAATACCTTTAAGCCCATATCCTGTAAAGGAAATTATCACCTAATCAGTACACATATATTATATATAATGCATACTTCTTTACATTGAATTTGATAAACAATCCAATTAGCTTAATATTAAACTTTTAATTTTCAGATCTGTAGAAGGGATTTTAGAATACTTATAGAAGCAATTTCATTCTCTTCCTTGAGTTCTTTCAATGGTAATTGTTTTATGTATGTGCTACTTAAAAATATCACAAAGAAATGAATTTTTTTTGAAACAGAGTCTCACTTTGTTGCCCAGGCTAAAGTGATTGCCATGGCATCAGCCTAGCTCACAGCAACCTCATTCTCCTGGGCTCAAGTGATCCTACTGCCTCAGCCTCCTGAGTAGCTGGGACTATAGGCATGAGCCACCATGCCCGACTAATTTTTTGTATATATATTTTTAGTTGGTCAATTAATTTCTTCCTATTTTTAGTAGAGACGGGGTCTCTCTTAGGCTGATTTCAAACTCCTGACCTCGAGCAATCCGTCCGCCTTGGCCTCCCAGAGTGTGAGGATTACAGGTGTGAGCCTCACGCCCGGCCAAAGTAATTAATTTTGATAAAAAAGAAAACTTGATTAATAGTTACAAAAGTTCCAGTTCCATGTTATAGATTTTAGCAGTTCTGCTACTATTAGTGACCTTTGAGAAGTATGGCCCATTATCTTCAACTATGATATGAAGGCATTAAAATAAATCATTTTTTTCCATATACAATATTTTAAGAACTGTAAAATCTGGCCATCCACAATGGGAGGAATTTACCTGTAGGAAGCTATACATATCTTTTTCATTTGTATTTGATATCACAGCATATGTTAATCCATTAATATGTATGTTGTGACCAAGGACACAGTCTCTATCGTCTTCCTCCTGTTGACTCAAACCCTCGGGGAAGCCAGTGAGGTCCCACACTGGTAGCAGGTTATAAACCTGTACAAATACAAAGGACAAAAACCCAGATTTATTTGTGGTTTATTTTTTTTTAAGTTCAAGGAGAAAAGAACAAGAATAATCCCTATCAATCTCACTTTGGGCACTCTCATTGCTTTGACAATTTACGGAGAGGATATGGATCATTTTCTCTAAAGGCGGTGTTGTCATTTTGAAGATGTTTAACCAAAACACTCTCATCTAAGCACTCTAGGGTCACAATATTTTGTTACACAGTTCAGAGGCAAACACTGGACTCAAAACTAGAAGGAAATATAACTATATTAATTTAGAAATTTAAGTCTTCTATATTGGAGATATTGCACAAAGCTTTCTAATAGATAATTTTCCCTCATCTTGCGATTAGCAACTGACTCAGTATATAACAAAGCAAATGGACATATATTCTAAACAGGCACATGAATAAATATCTATTCTCTACATAGGACAGGATAATATTTTCTTAGGTATTATTCATGGAAACAAAATACTTCATTTTTGACACAATACATAAAACTTTACCTATAAAATACTGGACGTGATACTCTCAGATTCATTTGAAGGGGAGGAATAAGACCGACATAAAAATGTTGATAGGTGCACTGTATTACATTATAGGAGTTTTAAATTGACAAAAACATATTAGCAAGGTGAGTAGTGGGATGAAATTAGACATTGTCTCAAAGGCGGCTCCCTTTTAAAATTTCCCATTTCCCCTCCCAGCTTTATTCTTCTGCAAGGCACATCACTGTTGGCTGTCTCATCTCTGAGAAAGTGTGTTACGTGAGACATGGATTTTGGTCTTTCCAGGAGTGCACTAGATCCCCAGCACTTAGAATAGGACCTAGAACATAGTAGGCATTAAATGAATACAGTTGAGCCTTGAACAACAATAGGTTTGAACGGTGTGGGTCCACTGATACACATATCAGTGGATTTTCTCTCACCTCTGCCAATCCCTGAGACAGCAAGACCCATCCCTCCTCTTCCCCGTCCTTCTCAGGCTACTCAACATGAAGATGACGAGGATGAAGAACTTGAAGATTCACTTCCACTTAATGAATAGTAAATATGTTCTCTCTTCCTTATGCTTTTCTTAATAACATTTTCTTTTCTCTAGCTTACTTTATTGTGAGAATACAGTATATAATATATATATAAAACATACAGAGCATGTGTTAATCAACTGTTTATGTTATTGGAAAGGCTTCTGGTCAAAAATAGGCTATAAGCAGTTAAGTTTTGGGGGAGTCAAAAGTTATATTGAAGATTTTTGACTGTGCTTGGGGTCAGTGCCCATAACCCCCACAATGTGCAAGGGTCGACTGCACGCGTTGAATGAATGACTTACACTACTAGCAGCAAAGTGTTTAATGAGTAAAACAACCAACCAAAGATTAAAAGAAACTAGTGTTCTAACCCAGGTGTACTGCTAAATACCTGAAAACTTCTGCTTTATTATTAATAAGTGAAATAAGATTTTCTGTGTTATTTAGCCATTATGGTGGTTATAATTAGAAAAGTACCTTTGAGGAGTGTAAAATTCTTATACAAATGTAAAACATTAATGTTATCTTTCTACACATCTTCTTGCTCCCACTATTGATATGTACTTAATAGTTCATTTAGAAGTATTCTAATATTTTCAATTAAAATGTCATTATAAGATCCAAAAAGTATTTTCTAGGGAAGTAAAAATATAAAATTTCCCTTGGTAAAATTTTGATAGTAGAAAAAATTTCAATAAAAGGATATTCCAATTTGTCTCATATTGAAAATTTGAAGTTATGAGCAAACTGTTACTAGTACATGCTAAGTAGATTTTTGTTGTTCCACTTCAACATACCTTTTTTGCTATATCTTCTATTTTAAAATATTTCATTTATCAATAGCAGTATCATATAGTAAAATATTTTAAAATATTATATTTCATATTACAAAGCAGATAAAATAATACAACTAATCCCATTCCCTTCATATTTCTGAATAATCTAGCTTGATGGCAGTGTGATGGTTATGTGGACATAAAAGGAAACCAAGGAAATGTATGCCTTAATGAAAACAAAACAACAACAAAACACAAAGAATGATTACTCATGAGGGAGCATGAGAATAGACACAGATCTCCTGGTACAGGAAGTAGTGGGAAAGACCAGAAGCACATCCAGAGGCTCAAACCCAAAATGGGATACAGCCCATTTTAAAACATTTCATTTATCAATAGCAGCTATCATGTAAGTAATTCATTTTTCCTAAATTTTCCATCAGAGATAATACATGTCTTTCTTCAGAAATTGTATTCAATTTGGGACAGCCATTATTTCAGTTGATATAATTCTTATAAAAACAGAAATTTGACATTTAATTTAGCCTGTGTGGTCTTAGAGCAGGTAAATGTATTACTTTTGTTAAGATTTTTGAAATGTTAAAACTAGCTTGGAAACTCCTATTATTGGTTTCAAGGAGCTCTGGGATTTCAGGGACTTTGACAGTGCATATTTTTTCTTTTTACATTATATATATATATATAATACACATATATAAAAATTTATGAATGATCTCCCTGATTCTTCAATTAGAATTAATCCTTTCTTTTATTTTGCCTATCTGTACCTCCTTTATAGCACTTTTCACTATCTGCCTTCTTTTTTCTCCAGCTTGCATATATAACTGCCTTGACACAATGAGATTTGGGTTTGTATTGTTATGGGAACTTAATCTGAGTCACAAGTCATTTTTCCGCTTTTTTTTTTTTTAAGGCAGGGTCTCACTCTGTCCTTCAGGACGGGTTACAGTGGCATTATCATAGCTCACTGCAACCTCAAACTCCTGAGCTCCAGTGATCCTCTGGCTTCAGCCTCCTGAGTAGCTGAGAATACAGGTGCATGCCACTGCACCCACCTAATTTTTTTAATTTTTCATAGGGACGGGGTCTCACTGTGTTGCCCAGACTGGTCTCAAATTCCTGGCGTTAAGCTATCCTCCGGCCTTGGCCTCCTTTGTTGTTAATTTTTTTGTGTCGCATTTTATATTTAAAAATTCTTTTATTCATTTCAATATGTTGTATGAGGCAATACATTTTTATCAATCGTTTTACCTGCAGAGGCCAGTAGGCTACGTGTGTAAACTTCTGCCTTCTTCACCAAAGAAAGCACACGTGAAAGAGCTCAAACCTGCTAGCTCCTAGATAAATGTAATTTTAATAGATCTTATCCTCCTCAGATAGGCATTTCTCCTTGTCCGAGCCCCCCATGGCCCTTGCTGGTCCCGTGGGCTGCCGGGAACTCACCGAGGACGGGGAGAGCTCGGCCTCGGGCTTCATGAGCAGCACGCTCTGGTCCACGGCCCGGAGGGCGCAGACCGACTGAGGCGACGCCCTGACTCGCAGGTGGACGGGTGAGCTTGGGAGACTTTGCGCTGGGCTAAAGCTCAAATCCACCTGTGAAATTGGGAACAAGGTCAGAAAAAGAAATTTGCTGTTTTAACCATGCATTTCCCCGCATTTTCTGAGCGTTCCTCACATTCAGCCCAGAACCACTTTGACTTCAATCGAGGTGGTTGGCGTTGTGTCAACCCCGAGGCTTTTTGTCCCCTACAATTCTCTTTCATTCTCAAGAATGAGTTGAGCCATTATAATAATTTCTAGTTATTCTTAGAAATTACTAATTATGACATGTCATTTTTGACCTTTGATACAAGGTGAGGTGCTCATTAACTGCAGTTGGAACGCGTATGGGTCAAGGTGCTCTTGTGTCTTTCTTTTGGCGCTTTAGTAGTCTTAAAATCTTGCTCATACATTCCCACCAGTTCATCAAACATGAAGGGAACAAGGTACCCTGAACTGTGACATTTGTTAAGAGACAAGGTTCTAGGAGGGTTGTGAGAGTTGCACACTTGGAGTCGAGTGACAGGGCTTCTCCTCTGTCATTATCTGGCTCAGTGTCTCTGGGGCATTTGTTTTACCTTTTGGCTCCCATGCTCACAGGTGTACAATAAACGGTCATGACAGCAACTTCTAGTTTGAAATGTTGAAAAGCTTATGATATAAAGCCCTCACCTTGTTGGTCAGACAATTTTCAACGTTATACTTTGCAGAATCTCCAATCACTTCCCCGTCAGGTAAAATGGCGTAGATGAGCAACCGAGCGACAGGAGCAATGTCTGACCCCACAGGGACTGACACAGAAAAGTGGCCTTTCACTGGAGCGGAGAGAATGAGAGGAAGCAATCGCAGGTTAGACCTGTCTTCAGGGCTGCCATGAAATTATTCTGCTGTACAAAGCCATTTGAGGAGGCTGGTCCGGTTAATGCCTGTTTCTGGTAGATGATATAATAGATACAATAGACAGTAGGTGCAATAACTGGATGACTGCAAACTTTACCTTTAGGAGAACTTTATCAAAGCCCCCTTTCCTCTCATAAATCCTATACTGTATTGATTTCTTGCCAATTTGAAGCTTTAGCTCTCCCCTAGATAAGGCTCTGATGCTATCTAAGCTTATGGAGACATCCATTTTGCCACCATTCGATCTAGATCTCACACTAGAAGAGGGAAATAGAACCTGAAGTTACAGGATGTAATAGGAAGAGTTTAACACATTGTGTTTGTGGTTACATCCTCTTTAACCATTTATGAAGAAAATCTTCTACTTTTTCTCCTTAAGAGAAATATTATGCTCCTTTGGAAGTTACTATTTGATGCCTACGTAGATTCTTTAGAAGTTACATTAAGCTTCCCTAAGTTAGTGATGGTGTTTCTGTGTTGTTATTAAGAGGTAGCAAAAGAGTACTTGACTGATAGTTTTCTAGTAAGTCATCTTTTAGATGCCATTAGACTAGGAGCAACCTTCAGAGGTTTATATTGCTACATATTTGTCCATGGGGAGAGTCCAATTACCCAGTCTTTACAAATCATAAATATTTTTAAAGGGCAAATAAGATATTTATAAAGATAGAGGTGACTCAACACAAGGATGCATCCCAAAACTTTGCCTTTCCTCTTTCCCATTCTCCAAAACAATTTTCAAATGTCTCCCAATTTGAGAAGATGGTCTAAGAATATTTATGATTTAAAAATTTGGAATAAGTGTAGATTGCATATGACAACTTTTAATAATCCAAACAGAACATGCTGAAGAAAAAACCCCAGATATTTGATCAAGGATGGAAAAAAATAAACATTATTCCTTTCCCTTCCTCAACTTCTTCTTTACAGTGATTAGATAGAAATGATCTCTCCTTACTTGAAAGTGTTCCTGGTATTTCTGTAGTGAAAGGCTGGATGTGTCAGAATGGGGCAACAATGTGCTTATGGAAGTACTCACTATCTCCCTGTTCCACAGGCAGTACATGAGTTCCAGTTCGGACAATGCCTCCCTTTGCCATTATCTGCAAAAAAAGGAAATAAAAAGAAATTTAAGGTGCCTGACCGAGATCTTATTCCAGTGTTGCTTTATTGAACCCCTACTAGTAATAATTAGTCACAAGAAAAGCCATACTTTTAAAAGAAACATGCATAAGAAGTCAAAGTGGTGATGCCTCAAAGAGCTTCATAATTACTCGCCCCCCGCAGAGAGGTTTTATCTACAGATAAATCAATGCAGTGACCTCCTTTCTCACCAGATAATAGAAGACAAGCTCCTTCAGCTCCTGCAGGGCCTGTGCATTCAGAATATAATCTGCCTGGACCGCCTGAGTTTGGCCGCAGGGCAGTTCACCAGGCATGGTCTCGAGCTGCACAAAGCTCTTGCTTAAGGAATATACGAGATTAGCAGTGTGATGAGCCTCTTCATTTTCCTCTGACAGCCAATGGTAGCCATAACAGACATTTTGATTCTTGTGTTTGACCTAATGAATTAGGAAAACAATGTTATTTTATGGATTATATGTCATAAAGAATAAATGTACTCACGAAACTGTGTAAGTTCACTATGCTACCTTAACTACAAATATTTTCCTCCACAATAAAAAGTGAGAGAAGGGCACCTTGTTTTACTTAACTGTATCAAATGAGGCATGATTTGTGCTTTTACACTGCAGAGGCTGCCAGGGGTGGGATTTACATTTCTGAAGAGCATAAAAGGAGGCTTCCTTTGATCTGATTAGCTTGCTTGAAATTTCTTTGTCCACTTCACTTATGTAGATAGAGACCCTGGAGCTATGAAACCTCATGGAGGAGAGTAAATCATCTTAAGAAACTGCTCCAGAAACTAGCTGTCTCTTTTATGATGGTTTGAAATGGGTATTATGAATGAATGAAATATTGCAACCCTAGGGATCTGAGAAAACATTGGTAAAAAGCATCGTTTTAAGGGCTGAGTTGGTGAATTAGCTGAAATCTACTTCTCCTGGGGTGATTATTTTTCCTGCTTCCTTCCTGCCATTCTGGATTCTTATGCCTCAGAGGCCCTATTGGGTTGTATTTTCAACTCTCCTTCATGTAGAAGTTGGTCCTTAACTCTTTTAAGGCTTCCCCTACCGTCATCCACAGCTGCCAAATCGAATGAGTGCATCCTTGTTGTGCCTGCAAAACTCTTTGTTCATATCTCAATATATGCTCTAGTGATAACATATATATGACCACCAAAAAGAGGGAGGATTTAAATATAATATTTTCATTGTCAGGACTAGCACAGTGCCGGGCACATAGAAAGCATTCAAGACACTTCTTGATTGATAAGTGAATAAATATTCAAATTGAGTCATTGGAGACATGGGATTTTATACCATCTAATTAAAGCTAAATTAATAAAATATATTATTTAATTTTTTCTTTATACCAAATGAGGGAGGGTTTTTCTAGTATTATGATATGCAATATATAGTGTAGATATGTGTAACTATAAACATATACCTATATCTCTATCGATGAATAGAAGACTGTACGCTATACAAAACAAGTTATGTGCTATAGATGGGTCATCTGGAGGAAATTAGAAAACAAGACAAAAAAACTGTAAAACAATAATTTTTGGAGTATATATATTTGAAACTAAATGCTAATTATGTTAAAATTGGCTTTTATAATAGCAGTATTTAATAGTTAATGGGCAGTTACTAAGTATTTTAACATGTATTATTTCATTTAATCTTCATAACAATGCCAAGAGTTAGGTAGTAATATTGTACCCATTTTACAGGTAAGGAAATGATACATAGAGATTTTAGTTATTTTCCCTTCATATAGAGTTGAGTCAGTATTTTTAATCACTTGATTTTGATTCTGGAACTTATACTTTTCAAAAAATTGTGATAAAAACAAAACATAAAATTATCATATTTGTAATTTTTTAGTGTACAGTTTGATAGTATAAGTATATCTGTTGTGCAATATAGAACTTTCATTTTGTAAGACTGAACCTCTATACTCATTAAATAGAAAATCTCTATTTCTTTTACTCCCCAGCCTCTAGAAACCACCATTCTATTTTCTGTTTCTACAACTTTGTCTACTTTAGGAACCTCATATAAGTAGAATCATACAGCATTTGTCTTTTTGTGACTAGCTTATTTCACTAAGCATAATATACTCATGGTTCATCCATGTTGTAGCACGTGATAGGATTTCCTTCCCTTTTAAGGCCGAATAATGATTCATTGTACGTATATCTATCCCACATTTTGTTTACTCATCTGTTGGTGGAGAATTGGGTAGCTTCCCTCTCTTGGCTATTGTGAATAGTGTTGCAATGAACATGGGTGTGCAAATATCTCTTCCAGACCCTGCTTTCAATTCTTTGGTAAGGTTGTTAGGTTATATAGTAATTCCATTTTTAAAATTTTGAGACACTTGTATACTATTTTCTATAGCAGCTACACCATTTTACATTCCTATCAGCATTGCTAAAGTAGAACTTGCACTTTTAGCCACAACAAAATACGGCCTCTCTTTCATAAACTCATAAAAAGTTGATCTTAAATTGGTGTCTAATTGCTAGTTTTCTCTCCATAGGACTAAACACAATTTGGAAATTTCATCGCTTTGTAAGTTGCAACCATGTTTTCAAGGCTACTTCATGCCATTGGTAACTTCTTTCTAACTTACATGAATGGTAAGAGAGATGCCCATAACACTGGTGGTGTTGATGGAGAACTGTGCCAGGCCATTCTCATCTGTGGTAGCATTGGATTTATAGTTAGCTTCATTTGCTGTGATGAAGATGATTTTATTTGGCATTGGGACACCTTTCCCATCCACTAGGCGCACCTGAAAAGTAAAAGCTGTGGGTCAGTTATATGGATAATAACTAATAGGCACCAAACATATTCATTTTATCACAAATATTTTTTGAGTGCCTCTTACATGTTGAATACAGTTCCAGGCATTGAGGATATAGAATTGAACAAAACAAAGTTCCTTTCATCACTGTCTAATAAAAGAGATAGATGCTAAGTGAATATATAAATAAAATACACTACTTTTAGTAGTAATCAATCCTAAGAAGAAAAATAAAGCAGTTTGAAGGGATAGAGAGCAGTAGGAATAATAATAGGGATGACCTGAAAAGGATGTATTTTGGATATTTTGGAAATACTGTGTATTACGTATAACTCTTAGAGAGTCACAGAGCACAAAAGTAATATAGTAACGAAAATTTTAATACTTTAGTCACATTTATTTGAGCCCCAAACACTTATTTGGGGGTGGACCATTAACTTCCTATGGATTAGTGTCTTGGAGCACTGCATACATGCACAAGTAAGCAACTGCTAAAACAGTGTGCTTCTCTAGTTGTGCTATAATATATGGTGTCTGCTTCTCAACCTGCACGTTCAATCCTTTGGAAGTCTGGCAGATTTTATGACACATCTCCCATGTGAAAAATGTAAAACTGAAAAGAGTCACACAGTATCAAATAAGGCCCTAACGTCAAATTACTGCTAATAGTGAACTCAGCAGATGAATAGCCCATTCAGATTGTAAAGACAAAAGTTCTTTTTAATTATGAGCTGCTTTTGGTAGTAGGAACCACAATAGTCTGACTTGCATCAGTATTTATAACTGATTAACAAAATCTAAGCTTGCCAGTGAGATGTTGGCTGCAGGTACAAAGATCAGAATGCACACAAAATTCTGATTCTCTTCTAGTTGAGAGTGTCTTATGACAAATAGGATGGTTATTTAATAGAAATGAAATATAAAAAAGTACAATGTACCTCTGGCAATTTAAAAATGGCCTACATTTTTATTTTAGGAAGTGGCCAAAGTTTCTGAAAATGTTTTGCTGTCATAACATAACTAAGTACTCTAAAATATGCCCCACTTTGTTGAGTTTAGTCTATCATTTATACCCTTCATGGCTGAAATCCTGAAACATTTCTATCAGGAACATGACACATGGTTATTGCACATTGAGGTGCCCACAGCTGCCATTCCAGACTTCTGCAATCAGAAAGGTCCATTTGCACATCTGCTTACGATAGAAAAACCACAATGGAAGATTTTTGGTAGATTTGTGTGCAAATTTATAAGGTAAAAATTTGGAAGCCTTAAATGGCAATATTTTACCCCCAGGTTTACTGTTTTAAAAATAAACTTGTCATTATAGAAAAGTAATGTAAATATAATACCCACTAAAGAAACGCTAGGTATAGTAGAATCTTTACTACTTCAAAATAAAAGTTAAAACTACCTACCCTCGCATTTCCTTACAAAGTTAGTGTTAGAAGGATAGTATAAATGGTCAAAAAAATTTGAGATTCCTATGAGAATATGTCTTGAAAACTGAGTCTGCATAGTAAACCATGAAAAAGAAATTGAGTGATATCATATAATACTATTCTATAAGTGATTAAAAAATCCTACTAATTTCAATGGAGCTTTAGAATAATTTACATATTTCATATGCAAATTTACACAGCAACAAATCTATTTCTATGTAGCTTTATACCTTCGGTTATATTAATTGATAACATTAATCAGCTATGGTTTCAGCAGAAACTGTACCTATTGTGCTAATTAGGTGACAGTACATGCGTTCACCAGTGAACTATAAAATACTCCACCTGTCCAAAGAAAGGGATCCCTTTTCTAAAATATGGGTCCACTTTCACAAATGACAGTTTGGTTATGGTTCTTGTGATTTCAGTGGATCCTCTTCCAGTTAATTCCACTCCTGAAAAAGAAGAAAGAAAACAAATTTGTTTTTGGAAGTGTGATGTTCGTGAACTTCTTATACTACCTCCTCCTTTACAGTTCATAATTTGTCTAAAAAGTTACATCAATGTCCATTGTTTTTTCTCCCATACCATGTGGTATACAAACCTGTTCCTTCTTCTTTGATATTGGCCTCCACATCCAGTTTCATTTGATACCCTTCCTTCTTCATCTGGAAGACCTTGGTGTTTACTTGCTGAGAGAAGCAGCCATATCTGTTCAGCTAAGAGGGAAGAAAATGAAATACAAAAACATAGCATATATTATTCTGCACAGATCCATGGTCAGTTAATCTGATGGGATTCTTTTTTTTTCATGGGATTCTTTTTGAGACACATAATCTATGTGTTTTCTATGTTGAGGACACAATATTTTTTCTCTAGGGACTAAACACTATCAAATTTCAGAGCAATATCTCATTGTTGTGACAGGTGTATTACTGGCAGGTGTATTCCTGAGTATCTGAATTCCCTAGAGAGGATGAGATAGAAATGCCTTAAACATTTTTGGGTAATCTTTTTATTGATGCATAATATTTGTACATATTTTGGGGTACATGTGATATTTTGATGTAAGAGTAGAATGTGTAATGATCAAGTCAGGTTATTTAGCATGTCCATCTCTTGAGTACTTATCATTTTTAATTGTTGGGAACATTTTAAGTCCTGTCTACTAGGTATTTGAAGTATACAATATATTGTTATTAACTATAGTTACGCTACTCTGTTATTAACCATTAGAACTAATTCCTCATCAAAGTCTGCTAGTTCCTCCTCCTGTGATATACAGGTGTGGTTGGGAGTGACCACTTGTCTGGGGACTGTGTTCTCCACCTCCCTGGCGTCTAGATGAGGCCATGTGAAAGGTTCTTGCTCACAGAAAAAGCGCAGAACTGATGTTCTAACCAGCCAAGACAATTAGGAGGTATATGTTTTTTCTCCTTCCTTTGTAGAAGTTGTTGCCCTAGGAGGCTTTGGATAGCTCAACTTCTATCATTCTGGAACATTCACAATGGACAATTACAGGAAATAATTTCTATTTTGCTAAGTTATTGGTTTTTTAAAATTACAATAGCTAGGATGGAATTCTCTTCCAGATTGTTCTCTTCCCGAGTTAGCACCATGTTGCAACTCACTGCTTGTCAACAATGCCTTTATTATTATTTCCTAAGAGGAAGAGTTTTCAACCTACTTGTTGACTGAATTTCTTGCAGAGCGCCTGTGACTCTTCGCCATAGCAGGTGGAAGGGTTATTATACTTTCTGCAGATGCTCACAGTCACATGTCCCGGGACAGGCTTCCCATATGTGTATCTGTCATGAGAACATTCCCAAATGAATCAAAGCAGACATTGAACTTTATACCTGTGTTCTACCTATTTATATTTACATTTCCCCTTTAACTAATAGGACATTTGCCCCCTGTTCTTCCCTCTGCTCTCTGCAGGGATCACACAATATTGAGGGCAAGAGTCACTAATCACTCTTCTCTTTTAGAAATCTCCAGTGCAACATGCTAAAATTTACTACATTTTTCTTTTATCATATCTTTTTGTAACTTGATTGCTTTCCAACTTTATCTTAGAAAATGTCTTTCTTCATACAAAAGCTAAACCTGTCCTTAAGAGAAAAACATCTTTATACCTGTGCCATGCCATTTTGGTTTTAATAGCCTTGTAGTATAATTTGAAGTTAGGTGATATGATGCTTCCAAATTTGTTCTTTTTTCATAATATTGTTTTGACTATTCATGTTATTTCGTGGTTCCATATGAAGCTTAGGATTAATTTATCTAGTTCTGTGGAAAATGACATTGGTATCTTGATGGGAATTGTATTGAATCTGTAAGTCACTTTAAGCAGTATGGACATTTTAAAAATGTTGATTCTTGCAATTCCTGAGAGTGGGATGTTTTTCCATTTGTTTGTGTCATCTGTGATTTCTTTCATCGGTGTTTGTAGTCATCTTCCTTGTAGAGATCCTATACTTTCTTGGTTAGGTATATTCGTAGGTATTATATTTTCTCTGTAGCTATTGTGAATGGTATTGATTCCTTTAGTTGACTCTCAACTTGACTGTTATGAATATATAGAAATGCTGCAATTTTGTGTACATTTATTTTGTAACCTGAGACTTTGCTGAATTTATTTATCAATTCCCGGAGCTTTTTGGGGGAGTATTTAGGTTTTTCTAGACCCAAGATCATATCATTGGCAAAGAGGGATAGTTTGACCTCCTCTTTCCCAATTTGGATGTCCTTTCTTTCTTTCTTTCTTTTCCCTGATTGCTCTGGGTAAGACTTCCAGTACTATGTTGAATAGAAGTGGTGACAGTGAGCATCCTTGTCTTGTCCCAGTTCTTAGGGGGAATGCTTTCAACTTTTCCCCATTCAGTAATTTGGCTGTGGTTTATGAGTGGAAAAAGATGTGACATATGTATACACTATGGTTAAGTATATGTATATGATATGATATATATATGTGCTATATGTATTCCATGGTTAAGTAGTACTCCATATATATATAGGCATTATTTCATTCATTCATTTTTGTTACACGAATGAACTGAATAACACTGGAGACGGGGCTTATAATGTGCCTGTCACCAGAGTAGTGTATATTGTACCCAATAGGTATGTGTATAACCATCATCCCACTCCCACCTTTCCTCCTTCTTAGTTTCCAATGTTCTTTACAACACTATATAACTGTGTATACCCATAGGTTAGCACCCACTTTTTAGTGAGTACTCTTTCTATATATAGAGTACTACTTAACCATAGAAAGGAATGAAATAATGCCTTTTGTAGCAACTTGAATGGAACTGGAGGATATTATCTTAAGCAAAGTATTCCAGGAATGGGAAAACAAACTCATGTTCTCAATAAAAAAGTGGGTGCTAACCTATGGGTATACACAGTTATATAGTGGTGTAAAGAACATTGGAAACCTGGAAGGGAGAAAGGTGGAGTGGGTTGAGGGATATACATATACCTATTGGGTACAACATACACTACTCTGGTGACAGGCATATTATAAGCCCTGACTCCAGTGTTATTCAGTTCATTCATGTAACAAAAACACTTGTAACCTCCTAATATTTTGCAATAAAAAAGAGAAAAATACCAACCAAACAACAAAACAAAGATAAAGAGAAGAAACAAATACCCTAAGGCTACCTAGGAATACAAAGTATTAATATGATAGCATCTCTGCTTCCATCGTCTTCTCGCCATGTACAGCCGTCTTTAGTTATATCAAGTTTTACTTGCTTACTTTTTTTTTTTTTGAGACAGAGTCTCGCTTTGTTGCCCAGGCTACAGTGAGTGCCGTGGCATCAGCCTAGCTCACGGCAACCTCAAAGTCCTGGGCTCATGCCCTGCTGCCTCAGCCTCCCGAGTAGCTGGGACTACAGGCATGTGCCAGCATGCCCGGCTAATTTTTTCTCTATATATTAGTTGGCCAATTAATTTCTTTCTATTTATAGTAGGGACAGGGTCTCGCTCTTGCTCAGGCTGGTTTTGAACTCCTGACCTCGTGCAATCCGCCCGCCTCGGCCTTCCAGAGTGTTAGGATTACAGGCGTGAGCCACTGCGCCCAGCCTTACTTGGTTACTTTTTACTAAAATGGAATTGTTCCACAAATATGTCATAAAGGATCACTGTGTTTCCTTCCCTATTTGAAATGACCTCTATATCTCTATGTGCAAGAGCATTGGCTCATCACCTGTTGTGTGGGACCAGGAACTTGGCCATTGCTCTGAGACAGCCTGAGACAGGGGCCCAGCTGAGCAGTAGGTGTATTACATATGTGGTCTTTAGGCAGGACTGGTTTCTTCACTCTGTCTGCTCTTCCTGCAAGTGGTACTTCTGGGCTAGCAGGGGTAGGAGCACAAGACCTTAGAAACATGAATTTTTAAGTCTTGAAGAGACCATCCTGAGAGATCATGTCCAGTCTCCTCAGTAATAATGGCAGTTGCAGTGAGGTATGTGACTCGCCTTAGATAGGCCAGTGAGTTAGATGGGATTTTGTTATATGTCTGTGTCTACAAATTCTGAATCTAGGCCATTCTGACAATATATGCAAGGTCATGTAAGTGATCTGTTGATCATTAAATTTCCTCTTTAACCACCCGTTGATCGTCTCTCTAATATATGTCTGGTTGCATCTGTTTAAGGAAAATCCATTATCCTTCAGCACTATCCTGTTTTGTTTTTGTTTTGTTCATGTGTGCATGCAGTTTTGTTACTTTCAGAATCCATCCTAGTAGCATAGCCTCTGTATAAACAGTTCCCCACCTCCTTATAGTTATAGTAATACTTATAAGGATATGAAAGAAAAAAGAAGGAAAAATAGAAAAGCAAAGGAAGAAGAACATTCTACAGATGGAGATGTTCCCAAAATAAAGTATTTGTGTTGCCACTGCTCCTAGAGAAGCTAGCCAAAATATCCCAAATCATGAGTCTCTTTTAAATAATTTTCCTCAAAAGATGAAAAATCATCAACTTACAGGCCACACACTGACACATTCATCTCTTCTTCCAAGATGGTGATTACCTTTGGCATTGTCACTTGCACTTCGAACTTGGGAAGCACTGTTGATAGCAATAAAGAAGGCTGATGATTAGTTTTTAATTTGGGGGGCATTAATATTTTTAGATTCTCTGTAATAATTTCTTAATTCTATTGTAGGTGTCTGAAAAGGAAGGCACTCTCCAATATAATCATATCCACTCCTGTAGTTTGGATGTTTGTTTCCCCAAACTTCATGTTGAAATTTGATCCCAATGTTGGAGGGTAGGGGTCTAATGGGAGGTATTTGGGTCAGGGGGATGGACATCTCATTAATAGATTGGGGTGGTTGAGTGATTTCTTGCTCTATTTGTTTCCAGAAGAGCTGGTTGTTAAGAAGAGCATGGCACCTTCCCTCTTGCTCTCTCTCTGGCTTCCTCTCTTGCCATGTGATCTCTGCACATGCCAGCTCCCCTTTGCTGCCTGCTGTGAGTAGAAGCAGCCTGAGGCTTTTACCAGATGCCTAGTCTTCCAGCTAGCAGAATCATGAGCCAAATAAACCTCTTTTCTTTACAAATTATGCAGCCTCATATATTGCTTTATAGAAACACTACGTGGATTAAGACATCTACCTTACTCTTGAATGGAGATTTTGGTTGAGGGATTATGACAGATCACTGTATTCTTGATGAGTTATGGAAGACTCCACTAAAATAAGGATTTCTATACTTCTTGGAGTATTAATTATTGCTACAAAAATAATCAAGTTACATGAAGTCCTATTCTCAAATCCTTACAGTTCTCATTGGACTTAGATGTAGTTAGTTCTACTCGAAGCCCAATGTCACCCATGGGGAAGGGAAAGACTCCAAAATAAGCTCAAATTCTGAACCCTAGAGGTTTAACTACAAAAAAAAGTGTGCATGATGTTCCATTATCCATACCAAATTCCTCCACCGTGAAAGGATGCTCTACGTTTCCACCTGATTGTTTCTGTACCACCACCTTGTAGGAGCCCAGAAAGGGCTCTGATGAGAGGGCAAAGGACAATTGCGTGAGGCCGCTCTCTAACTGGAGACTCTGCCATTGTGCGATGCGATTTCTTTTGGGGTCCTATGGATAAATTCATTATCACTTACAAATGCATCTAGATCATTAGCGACAATAAAAGAAAAGCAAAAAACCTGCTATGTTTACCACAAAGAAGACAAATGGGGTCATGGTGAGGGGCAAGGAGGGGAGTGAGTTATAACCATCCAATCCTAGGTGATTCTGAAGGCTTCTCCCTTAATGGTACATTTCTGAGATATTGTAAGAACCCATCAAATAAGAACATTTTCCCTGAACTTATTGCTTTCATTCCAATTACGGAATGTTTCAAGTTGCTTACCTGAATGTATACTAGTGGAATCTGAAAGGAGAAAGCAAAAAAGGAGTTTATAATTGTTCTCAAATATTCCCAAATCCTTTTTATAAGCAAAGCAGCTTTGTGTAGAATAACTCTCTCTATAGTTAAACACAAAAGATTCCAGATTAACTTTTATAGAACATTTAATTCATCTACTTTAAGCAATTAATACATAATGTTAAGAACGTATCAGACCATTAGAAACAAATATATATATGCACTACCATTCACTAGGAATGGAATTTACTAACATTACTTAAGTACTTATAGTGAATTTTAGTGAAGAACATCTTTTTTTTTGAGACAGAGTCTCACTCTGTTGCCCGGGATAGAGTGCCGTGACATTAGCCTAGCTCACAGCAACCTCAAACTCCTGGGCTCAAGCAATCCTCCTGCCTCAGCCTCCTAAGTGGCTGGGACTACAGGCATGTGCCACCATGCCTGGATAATTTTTTTCTGTATATTTTTAGATGTGTAGCTAATTTCTTTCTATTTTTTTAGTAGAGATGAATTCTCACTCTTGCTCAAGCTAGTTTCGAACTCATGACCTTCAGCGATCATCCCACATCAGCCTCCCAGAATGCTAGAGAAGAACATTATTTTGCTATGCAGTTATACAGATCAAAAAAGAAACATTAAACTGTAAGCCACCATGCTCAGATGTATGGGTGATAGAATTTTTAAGTAATTCTAAGAATTAGCAAGAATGGGAATAGTTCCTGTGCTATCAATGCTCATTCATTTTTAAAACTAATAGTTATTAAGTATCTACTCATGTGCTCTGCATCATTCTAGGTGCTGAGAATATAGCAATGCGCAAAGGAACAATATGTCTGTTCTAACTGAACTTACATAATAATATGGATGAACAGGAAGAAAACCTTTTGTGTACATCTCTCAGGTGGTAGTAAATGCCAAGAAGAAAATAATGCTGGCTTAAGCTGACAGAGTGATGGATGTGGCGTTTGATTTTAGATAGAGGAGTGAGAATACAAGCTGGCAGCTCACTTTCAATGAATGTTACTGCAATGATCTTGTTTAGAGATGATATTGACCAGGAATAGGTTGTGGCAATTCAGGTGGTAAGAAGTAGTCTGGAGATGTTTTGAGTCAACATGATTTTCTGGTGAAGTGGACGTGGATGTGGGAGAGAGAAGGAAGGATTGTAACACAATCTCTTGCTTTAGGAGCTAGAAGAATTGCCTCTTTTGGAGATAAGAGAAGGTGGCAGAGGACTAGATTTGGGAGAGCAAAAGGAAGACTTTGGCTTGATGTCTGCATTATAATAGAAACAATTCTCTTTTTTTTTTATCACAAATATCAAAGGTTAATCTTGATTACCCTCAATCAAACAAATTGATTACCCTCATCTTACTTTATAGCAGAGGTTTAGGTAGGAGTCTATACAAAAAGTCTAAATCTCTGAAAAGTTATTTGAATTTAGGTCCTCTGGTGGTTTATCTGTGTCTATTATTTAGTGTATCTTTCTAATATCCTTAACTGAGAACTATCTAAAGAGTAAGTTTAATTGTGTGAACCTAACTGAGTAATAGTGCAAAAGACAGAAAGAGTTACCTACTCTCTTGACCTGGGATAACATGGTAAATGAGGAATTTGTGGCCCCGTAATGCCAGGATTAGTGGTGGTGTTGCCTGATTTGTCCTCTCCCTGGTCCTCCCTGCGACTCTAAAAGTAGGCTCCCGGCCATTATACACACAATAATGATTTTATGTAGATAACAGGGGACTCACCAACTCATTCACGGGGTGAAAATCTTCATCCAATGAGACAACACGAAATTTCACTGAAACAGAAATATTTTCCATGAGCCCCCAAACCCTAAACTAGGCCTAGTGGCTGGTAAGAAACGCAATAAAGGAGCCAAGATTATAGGAGCTTCGGGGAATATCCAGGGTAGGAAGGTCTTTCTCTTGGAAGTTGCTCAGGCTTCTCCATACCTGTCTGCTTTGGTTTGTAGATAGGTTTGTCTGTCTGGACAAATACCAGACTCTCTTTGTTTTTAACTATCACGGTGGTCCGGCTGCTGAATTGCTGGGTTGATCCTTTCACTTGGACGGTGAGGAACATCACCTCCTGACTGGACGAAGACCGCGGGATCTGCAATGCAGCAGAGATGCTGAGAGCCCATTCAGCCTCCCAAGCCCCCTCCGCCATTCTCTGTTCCACTCCTCCCCGAGATCCTGCCCTGATTTCACTCCTGCAGTCTCAGCGGGGAAAGCTGGCATGGGGGGGAATGGCTCTTGCTGTTTTACAAATGGGAAGCCAGAACACAGGTGGAGGAAAATACTTCAGTAAGAGAGGTTATAACTGAGACTCACATGTTCCTATAGCCCAGAAAATAGAGTCTTGATTCAAGTATACGCTGAGCTTTACCAAGTCGATGTTATATGCCAAAAGGGCACGGGAGAAGCATGTCTCAAGGCTATAAAAATTATATATTTAATTGGCACTAGGTGTAAACCTCTCACATATGGGCCACTCTTAAGAGATACTAGGCATTTTCTTGGAGTAATTTCTATGATTTTTACTCTTAGAGTGTGGAGTCATATGTTCTTCTCAGCCCACAAGTGGCAGCTCATGTTGATTCTGGTCCTAGTTTGCTTTATTAAGGTTTTCTACACTTTTATTAATAATTTTAAGGAGTCATCTTTTTTCTTTGTTTAGTGCATATTATCTTTTTTTGTTCCTCCGGCTAATAGGGTTTTTTTTTTTTTGATCATTAAGTTGATCCATAAATTGCTTTTATTTATTTATTTATTTGAGACAGGATCTTGCCCTGTCACCCAAGCAGAGCACAGTGGCACAATCATAGCTCACAACAACCTCAAATCCCTGGGCTCAAGCGATCCTCCTGTCTCACCATCACTGAGTAGTTGGGATTATAGGCTCAAGCCACCATGCCCAGCTAATTAAAAAAAATTTTTTTTGTAGATATGGGGTCTTACTGTGCTACCCATGATGTTCTCGCACTCCTGGCCTCAAGTGATGCTCCTGGGTTGGCCTCCCAAAGTGCTGGGATTACAGGTGTGAGCCACCCAGCTCTGCTGCGTTGCTTTTTAATTTCTATGCTTAGTTGCTGCATTTGAATTCCTTCTTGAAGTTCTTACTAGCCTCCCAAAGCCTTATCTTGACTGAATACTGGATCCCTAAGACCTTGACCAACAGAGCTGGATACATAAATTCAAGCGGCCACACTCACGGTGAAGGAGACACAGTGGAATAAGTCCTTCTCCGCCACCAGGTCAGTGAAGAGGCTCCTGTTTCCCCTGAGAGACTCCAAGGAAGCACGTACGGTGACTGTCTCATTCAGGTAGCTCAGAAGGACACAGCCCTTCTCAGGGGTCTCAGTGTGCAGCAGGGAGGGGACCAGCACCATGTAGTGTCTGGGAGAGCGCAGTCGGGGAGAGAGGAGGGAAAGAAGAGAGGCACCGCTGTCAACAGCACTGTTTTCCATATAATTGCTGTTATCATCATCAGTTCTGAGAGAAGACAGATTGATGAGCATGAAACTCAGCTGTTGAATGGCACGCATAAGAATTATTTCTCCTTTCCATCACATGCCATGGAAGTGAACATTTTATTTGCGGTGGGTCTTAAGAGAATAAAATTTGTAGGCATACTTCATTTTAAGGAATCCTAAGACATGGGCATCTGAGTTCAAATAAAAAACATGCTAGTTACATTTATTTATGTGATTTCTTTTACCTTAGGATTGCTGTAAAAAGCGAGCAAGCTCTCAGGCATGTGAACACTGAAAAGCCAATCAAACTATAAAACTTCTCTTAAAAGAGAAATAAATATGTATATATACATATAATTCAACTACTCTGTCAAATTGTATGGCAAGTACTTGCTTCTACTTCACAAATATGGAATCTAAGCCTCAAATAAATGAGTCATTAGTTTAAAGTCTCAGTTGTGGTTAGCAAGTCATAAAGTCTTAGAGCGTTACCTCAACGTGGATGTTTGCATTTTAAATATTTGCCTTTCGACTCCTGTTTAGACAATGGCTCCATCCAAAAATGGCCTTCTGGTGATTGAACTTAGATCTTGCTAAATCATGAGCAGGACAGAAACTTTCTCAGTATCCTGATATAGAATTTAAGATGGACTCTGAAGTTTTTAAATATTTTTGCTCACAAAACTGCTAAAATAATTTTTAGAACATTGTGCTCTTACATGCTTTTAAGTAAACCTCTATTTTTAAAACTATAGTTTTAATTAATTGCAAAAGATATTATTTTTGATGCTATATTAAATTAAAACTTTGATTACTTTTACAAGTTTCCCATGGAATTCTTAATTATTATAGTGGTAAGATACCTAATATCACCTACTTAAAAATATTAATAAGTTCTTTTTGTAATGGCCAATTTTTTAACATCTTTCATTTTTTTCCCTCCTTTAACTTGAATTTCCATGCCTCTTATCAGATAGAAGTTTATCCTATGATTTTTGTGCTTCAAAATATTTTATGGATCACTCTTAGTTTTTTACTAACAAGTAATATGTACATATATATGTAATTTTAGAGGTGGGAAGATAAATTTAGCTTTAACTCCTCTTATAAACATAATGTGACAATACATTTGTAAATATTAGACATTTTCTTCTATTGAATTATTTATAAAAGTGCTTGTATACAACTGATCAAAACAAATACATTACAAAGTATGTTTCATAAATATTAGATATAAAATTAAAATTAAAATAATTCTGAAGCACATGTTAGTGAGAATGATGAGCTGTTTTTTTTCCTGTGAATTTCTGTATCCATGGATGGATAGTCCTTATTCCAAGAATTAAATAAGGTCAAACAGTAATTTTGTTACTATTTATGATTTGTGTAGATTTAAGTCCTGAGAAGAATTATTTACATAAAAGTATAAATGGCAGGTAAAACAACAGTATTATTGCTACCACTTATAAATTCTTCTGCATTACATGCCAAAATTCACCCAGTCCCCTATTAGCAAGAGTTGCTTCTAATCACTTATCAGCTGGTATTTCCTTTAGTTTCTCCTTCAGTTTTGTTGAAACAAAGAATTCATCACCACCTGATCTCCAAAAGGATTTTCTCTCTTGTCATGAGAGTTCTTTGTTTTCTCAACACCAATGGCAGTATTTCACATTGTTCCTTCATTGTCACTCTGGAGATTTTTATACTCCAGGACAATGATCCATGCTAAGATATGGTAGAGGGAGAAGATTCTCTTTATTTTATAAAATAGAATACTTGTAATTAAGAAAGGGGGTTGGTAAGAAAGGACAAATAAATAGCATGGTCTCAAGCAGAGCAATATGACCACAAAGATCTGAAAATTGGTTCCTTTAAAAACAAGTTTGAATTTCTGATGCCCCTTAGAAAGGCATTGCATATCACCAGGAAATTTAGAGATTCAGAGATCCAGAGAGCTGGAGAAAAATAATTATAAGTGAAGAATGAATAAACCAGATTTACAAATTTTCCTGGTTGGAAGAAAATTTAAAGATGAAGGAGGAGACAGTTTCACAGGAAAGACAGATGAATGATACAAAGCAGAATCTGAAATAAAGGAAGGGTCTCTTTAAGTTCATGCTCCATGTTCTGTGTGGAACTCACGGTTTTGCAGAGCCAGAGGCTTCTGTGGGCAGGAGGACCAGGAGGAGAAGAACAAGACTTGAATGGAGGAGTTTGTTCTTCCCCATGCTGCAGGCAGAAGGGACCGGAGGAGATCAGCCTGTATGTACCCTATTCCCTACAATGGGTCTGGTGCTAAACACTCCCCAGAACAACTGGGCTTTATACTGCAATCTGTGCAAACAGGAAGTTCCACCCCCACAAGGTCGCTAAACAAAGTTGAGGTCTCTGAACATTCTGTGAAAGGGTCATTGATAACCTGTTTATAGTCAAAGTTAATTCCTG